AACCCTGCAGCTTTGGACTCGGCCAGTCTCTTCTACAAACACAAACATTTGATTTTTTTTTATTTAAAGTACCATCATCTCTACACACAGACATTAAAGTCAGTTACCTTCATATGAGCTGAGTCCTTGTCGGCACAGCCGGCGTTGGACACCACGTACAGGTAACCCTGGTCTGTCTTTGTCACTATGAGGTCATCCATGATCCCTCCGTTCTCATTGGTGAACAGAGACAGTGTGCCCTGAGAAACAGATGACGGCAAAAAAAAAAACCCAGAGTTAATGAACTAACTTCTTTAGTGTGTTACAGGTCGTCCACTTACGTCAGGGGTCGGTTCCTAGCAGCGACTTAACTTGAATTTTCGCCCTAAGTCAGGATTTACATACATAACAAAATATGGAGGTAAACAGAACCTGTTGGCTGAAAAACTACTGTTTTTATAAACGTCTAGGTAGTGGGTGTGGCCACATAACAATCAAACTCTGTAGGTGGAGGACGTGGTAAACCGAGGACCCCCCGTACCGTCCTCCTCATCTCACCTGGTTGTCCTTCAGCTCAGCGATGTCAGCCACCACCAGGGACTCCATGAACCTCACCCTGTCTTTGCCGTGGACTTTGGTCTGACATGGAAGACAAAGAAGGAGTGCAGCAGTTACACCACACGTTCACAGTGTGTGTGTGTGTGTGTGTGTGTGTGTGTGTGTGTGTGTGAGCCCACCTGCAGCATGTGGCTGACGTCAAAGATGGAGCAGTGCTCCCTGGTGTGCATGTGTGAGGAGATGTGACTGTCTTTGTACTGGACCGGCATACTCCAGCCGGCGAACTCCACCATCTTCCCTCCATGTTCTCTGTGGAAGTCAAACAGTGGCGTCTTCTTCTGGGACGCCTTGGTGAACCACAGCACACAGACGAGAGAACATGAAAAAAAAAGAAAAAAAAAAACACACAATGACGCCCCTCCAACCTGTGACCTTTGAACCAGCCGCTAATTCAGCCTTATCAGTGCCACGCTAGCAGCAGTGCATCATGGGACGTAGTCTGTTGGTGCACACTCCACACATGCACTAACTGAACTAATGCAGATTAGAGAAGAGGACGTTATGACTTTAGTCTTTTCTCCTGGGTCTGCTTTATGCAACATCCACAGATCAGTCTCCGCTGCTTTGGTCTGAACAGTCATGTCTGTGGAGTGAGTCGAGGATCAGTGATGAGAGGAAGAACTTTCACAGAATTAAAGTCCTGTCATTTCATGATGTCACTGATTTCCCTTCACACCAATTCCAAGGTTTTCTGACTTATTCCACATCACGTTGTGTTGCTACAACATGTCAGTACTACAGTAGATTTCTGCTCCTCATATTCTAGATCAGGCGTGAGCAAACTTCATGACTCGTGGGCCACAATTGGCCCTGAAATTGAATGGGGGGGCAGGTCAGGAGCAGATAGATGGAGCGTTTGTGTAAACTAAGATAAATTACATGTAAAAGTCATGCATAAAGGCTGAAATGCTAAAATGCTGTTATCATTTTCTATGTCATCTATTGGGGGAATGTGGGTATTGCAGGGAAAAGGCAGGAGTATAATAATAATAATCTAAATAAATTATATAATCAGGAAAAGTTAACAGGGCCAGATTAAAAAACTGAACGGGCCACATCCGGCCCCTGGGCCTTAGTTTGCCCATGCCTGTTCTAGGTGTTTCCACAGGCAAAACTCAACTGTGGCCAAGCAGATTAGAAATCTGTCAACCAGCGCGTTTGAATGATTTTCTGTATGATTTCATTGTAAATATTTGGTTTCCATAGACATTTATATCAACAAATGAGGTTTAAACAGTTTCGTAGCCACAGGTTTTTTAAAAAAAAAAAATTATCCAGAAAGCAATGAATAACAGTTTTAAGACATTTCAAGGAAATCCAAAATCTAGGCCCTTTCCCAATCGTGAAAAATCAAGCAGTTCAATCACCCTCGTGTTGATTGCTGTTCCACTTCGACTAATATTTCAGATAACTCCTGACCTCGGAGGCCATGGCACATCTCTGCTCTGACACACCTGAGTTATGCATTGTAATAACTGCAATATTTTAAAAACATTAAAGTAATTTAGTAAAATAAAGTAGAATGGCGAGATTTAATTCACTCCTTTGTCACTGACAGGTCGTCGAAGTGCTTCAAACGTAGTACTGCATATTTAATGTGTACTTATTAGCAGTGTTATATGTGTAAATAGTGAATTTATACTTGTTTTATTTTCTAACTATGAGTGAGTTTAATTATCCGACCGTATGTTCTGGAAGATTCAAACTCAACTGCAAAATAGGAAGTTTCAAAACATTGGATAAAGTCCGTGACATCGAAAACGTTGTTGTTCTGAAAATATAACGGAAATAAAAGCAGTTGAAAACTTCCACTGAGCTGCCTTCACTCCGGTTGTTTTTCTGTCAGTAGCATTGAGGTTTTTACGACACCCAGACTCCACTAACCTCTGCACTCGAAGCTGCTCTCTGCTGCTTTCTCCCCGTGCACCCAGCTGCGGACACCCGCAGTAAACCGTCTCTGGACGCCCCAGCAGCCCTGGAGCTGAGACCCGTCAGTCCGAACACAGTCAGCCGCTGAGCCCACATCATGTCACCGCGTCCCCGCTGCAGAGTCACACTCGCTCCGCTGCTCCTGATCAGCACTTCCGCTAACAGTTACCAAACTCTGCCAAAGTACATGCTAAAGGATTGTTTTCCTGGCGAAATAACACGTGAATGATAGTAAAAGGAGCAGAGGCTGCTGGGAAATGTAGTCAGTCAGCGGCGTCGTTCTCCTCTCACCTGTTTAGTTAATATACGGAGTTTCAAATTACTATCGTTAACTATCAAATCAGAGGGTTAGAGTCTTGAACTGAACAATGTGGCTGGAAATGTCGAAAAATAATTCAAAACGTGTATTAAAACTGTGAAATAAATTAAAAAATAATAAAATAATTTTAAAAAAGTAAGTACAATGAAGTGTTTGGTGAACGTTTTAGAAGATCATGGTCATAAAGAGCAGCACAGATATCTCACCTTTACTCCACCCCCCCCCCCCCTTTCCCCCCCCCCCCCCCCCCCCAATCCCTCATCTGTGTTACACTTTTATTTTAACTTCAATTTAACATATTAAGCATAACACACACAACTTAAGGTAGAAATACTTGAGGTATTTGTTTTAGCCAAGAAAACAACTCAATATTTACTATATTTGGGACGACATAATTGTACTGATGGAGATGATAGTAAAAATAGTAAAAATATATAATAGGAAAATATTTGCAAAGACAGTTCTCTGTTTAAATATTCCATCTAGATGTGAAGTGAACCATCATTAAAAAAAAAACCTTCAACATTTATTTATGAATATGTGACTATTTCTGACGTGTTTTGTTCGGTGTATCACCTTGTATCACTGTTTCTCCATCATTTAGCTCTTGTTGTACTTTCCTCTGCAGCTGTTTTAACACTGAACTGAATAATTACCCTTCAGGTGTATTTAATTCAAATTACTGCCACTGTCCACTCACTGACATGTGTTTATCCCTGTGTACCCACTCAGACCAGTGAGTCATCCTTCAGTCCAGGGGAGCTAATAATACCCCCATGTCTCTGCTGCTATTTCTGCCTGCAGGGGTGGATGAAGTGTGTGTGGGTGTGAGAGGGGTTTCTGGGGGGGTGGGCTAAAGTGGAACATGTACTCATACAAACATAGCTGAAGGAGGTGGCACGGGGGGCGGGGGCTGGGTGGGTGGCACAGCTGCTCAGTCACAAACAAGTAGGAAGCAAAACCCAGAGTTTCCATGTGTTTTTGTCCATCAGGGTTTTTTTTCACTGGATTTACTTTTCATTACTGCTCATTGTTCTGGAATGTCACACTGGTTCTGGGCAAAAGTGTGGGTCGTGGAACGATGCTGTGATCCTGAGTGTCTACACGTCACAGTGGGTTAACAAGAAGACTCACAGGAACCAGACTACAAACTCCACTACAGTGTGTATCTATGGTGACACAAGGTGAGTGGGGGAGTATTCATGCGGCCTGTTGTAAAGTAGCGTGTAGTACGGAGTCTGTGATGAGGTGGGCTGTAAATCAGGTCACTGATCATCCATTCATTCACTCAGTTACTCATTAGGAGATGGTGTTCTTTGGCCTTTGACTCAAACTCAAAGCTCTAATAATAGCTTTGATAAAGCTGCTGCTCATACAGTAGTTTTTTTTCTTTTCTTGTCTTTAAATTTAAGGTGGAACAATCAGTTCTACCCTCTGTCTAAAAAGAAATATTATGAAGTACTAGTAAATGATCACTAGTGGTGGAAAGGTGCCATCCATAAGACAAGAAATAAATATGATTATGTCAGGGCAGTTTGAAGGTTATAAATGAGTATAGCTCTAAAATCTCTCCACTGTGTCTTTGGAACTTTAACATTTGGAACTGTCCGATCATTGTGTGGATTATTCAGAGTCAGTTTCCTCAGCTGTCTGTTCTTATCCCACACACGCTGATAAACTAATCTCAGCTATAAATATCTACATGAACATAACCAGATCTCTGTACTGTGAGCTGCTAACTGATGCTGTCCTACTGTCATTTTGTTATGATTGTAAAAAGCAGTGTAAAGATGCAGGTTCAAAGGAAGCTCACACACCGTCTCGAATCACTTCCACTTCGTTTGTTACAGCTTTGGACTAACGTGTTAATATTTGCGAGCAGATGTCGAGACCTTCCTCCACTCAGACCACTCCTCGCTTCTACAGAGTCAGTGACAGAGATCTGACAGAGATAGAGCTTCACTCCGTGGACTCCATCAATGACCTGCACCGAACGCACCACGAACACGGCCACAAAGGTACACACACGAGTACTGCAGTAAGTCGTAAAGCCATATGGTGGAGAGGCACAAGTACTGCATGTACACACAAAGATATGCACAAAATAACAGGTAGTCACAAAAGCAATCAAAAGTACACACACAAATACTGCCAACAAAAATACACAGAGCCACAAAGGCACTGTAAGTGTATTTGTGTATTTTTTATATAACTACAAAGAACAAGTATATTAAAACATATCTACAAAGACACACAGAAATAATACACACACAAATACTGCATAAAGACCCAAAAAGCCATAGACACACGGGTACTGCAAAATGTATCATTTGCAGTATTTGGGTACTACGTATGTACACAAATATTGCAAAGGCAGAATACTTTTAAACACACTACAAACAAAGCCACAAGGATGTACACAGATGAATACTGCAAACACACCCACACGTGTACAGACACAAATACTAGCAACACAAGCAACAGCACTCAACGTACACAAAGGTACTGTATATCATTGCAGTACATAGTACCACACACTCACACACTGCAGGACTGTGTGTCTGATTCAGGGGTGAAGCCTCCCCGTCCAGACTACACACCGTCTCCAAACGGAAACGTCAACAACGCTGACATGTCAGCTGTCAATCAAAGAGTTCAAACCGTCAGCACCCAATGGCAGAGTCGTCTGCAGGACATGTTGACGCCCACTTCATCACGAGCCTACACCATGGCCTGCGCCATCGTCTCTCTGCTTCTGCTGACCGTGTTCCTCATCTTCTACTTTTTAGGTAGGGTCAGCATTTCATTGGATTTCACTGTTTTTTGTTTGGATGTTTTGTCAGGTGCCTTTATGTCCCAACTGAGA